ACATTCAAAGAAGAACAAACACCTATCCTCCTCAAACTATTCCAAAACTCCCAAAGGAAGACACACTTTAAGCTCTTTTTATGAAGCCAGCATTACCCTAATTCCAAAACCAGATAAAGACCCTACAAAGAAAGAGAATTTCAGTCAGTATCCCTGATGAACATAGATGCTAAAATCCTCAACAAAATGTTAGCCTGTAGGATCCATCAATATATTAAAAATACCATAAACCTTGACCAAGTGGGGTTTATTTCAGGGATGCAAAACTGGTACAATATTCACATATCAATAAATGTTATAAATCACATAAACTAAATGAAAGATAAAAATCACATGATCATCTCATTAGATGCAGAAAAAGCATTTGACAAAATCCAGCAACCATTTTGATAAAAACTCTTAGCAAAGTGGTAATAGAGAGATTATACCTCAACATAATAAAGACCACCACATAGAACAAACCCAAAGCCTACATCTTACTCAATGGGCAAAATCTAAAAGCATTTCCCTTAAGATCAGGAACAAGACAGAGATGGCTGCTTTCACCTCTAAAAAATCCTACCTGGCCGGTGCAGCTCAGTGGTTATGCATCGTCCTATGAGCCAGGAAGTTACGGTTCAATTCCTAGTCAGGGCACATGCCCTGGTTATGGGCTCAATCCCCAGTAAGGGGTGTGCAGGAGGCAGCCAATCAGTGATTCTCTCTCATCATTGACGGTTCTATCTTTCTTTCCATCTCTGAAATTATATATACAATAACATTTACAATTGCAACAAAAAATTTAAGATAATTAGGAATAAACTTAACCAAGGAGGTACAAGACTTGTACTTAGTAACCTACAGGACTTTGAAAAAAGAGATAGAGGAAAATATAAACAAGTGGAATAATATAACTGTGTTCATGGGTTGGTAGAATCAACATCAGTAAAATGTCCATCCCACCCAAAGCAATCTATAGGTTCAATACAATCCCTATTAAAATACCAATGGCATATTTCGCAAATCTAGAAAAAATACTGCAAAAATTTAAATGGAACAAAAAAGACCCCAAATAGCCACAGCAATCTTGAGAAAGAAGCACAAAGTTGGAGGGATCACAATACCAGATATCAAGTAATACTGTAAAACCACTGCAATCAAAACAACCTGATACTGACCCAAGAAAGGCATCTAGATCAGTGGAACAGAACAGAGACCCCAGATAATGACCCAAGCCATTATGCTCAATTGATATTTGACAAAGAATGCAAGAGCATACAATTATTCAAGACAGTCTCTTCAACAAATAGTATTGAGAAAATTGGACAGGTACAAGCAAAATATGAAGCTAAATCACCAACTTACAATATACATAATAATAAGCTCAAAATGGATAAAATACTTAAATGTAAACCATGAAACCATGAAAATTGTAGGAGAAACCATGGGCAACAAAATCTCAGATATCTCTCCTAGCAATATTTATGCAGATACATCTCCTAGACCAGTGGTCGGCAAACTCATTAGTCAACAGAGCCAAATATCAACAGTACAATGATTGAAATTTCTTTTGAGAGCCAAATTTTTAAACTTAAACTATATAGGTAGGTAAATTGTTATTAACTTAATTAGGGTACTCCTAAGGCTTCGGACGAGCCACCCTCAAGGGGCCAAAGAGCCACATGTGGCTCATGAGCCGCAGTTTGCCGACCATGGTCTAGGGCAAAGGAAACTAAGGAGAACATAAACATGGATGTAGTTCCAAATAAAAACCTCCTGCAAAGCAGAAGAAACCATCAGAAAGAAATGTAATTAGAGCCCACTGTATGGTAGAACATTTTTGGCAATGATATATCTGATAAAGAGTTAATATCCAAAATATGTAAGGAACTCATACAACTTAACAAAAGAAAGATAAACAATCCCATCAAAAAAAAAAAAAAAAGGGGCAAATGAGTTGGTAGACAATTCCCCAAAGAGGACATACAGATGCCTAAGAGACATATGAGAACATGCTTAAAGTTACTGATCATTTCAGAGATGCATATTAAAATGATAATGAGGTATCATCTCACACCTACCAGAATGGTTACCATCACCAAATCAACAAATGACAAGTGCTGGCAAGTTTGTGGAAAAAAGGGAATCTTCCTGCACTGCTGGTGGGAATACAGACTGGTGCAGCCATTATGGAAAAATACGGAGTTTCCTCAAAAAATAAAAAAAACAGAACTGCCATTTGACTCAGTGATCCTACTTTTAGGAATATATCCTAAGAAACCCAAAACACTAATAAGAAATAATGTATGCATTACTATGTTCATAGTAGTGCAATTTACAATAGCTAAGATCTGGGAACAGTCCAAGTGTCCATCAGTAGATGAGTGGATAAAAAAGCGATGGTACATTTACACTTTGGAATACTATACAGATGTAAAAAAGAAGGATCTCTTACTCTTTGAGACAGCATGGAGGGGCCTGGAAAGTATTATGCTAAGTGAAATAAGCCAGTCATAGAAAAACAAGTATCACATGATCTCACTCATATGTGGAATCTATTAAACAAAACAAACTGATGAACAAAATAAATTCAGAGACACAGAAGCATCAAACATACTGTAGAATCTTAGAGGGCAGGCAGGGGTGGGTGTGTGGTGGGAAGAGGTCAGTCAAAGAAGTTGTATGCATATATGCATAACCCATGGACACAGACAATAGGGTGGTGAAGGCTTGGGCCAGGGGTGGGAGCAGGCTAGAATGGGTCTGTGGGGGGTAAAAAGGAGGACATGTAATACTTTTAATAATAATGATTAAATAAAAATAAAATCCTGTGTAAAAAAATAAAATAAAAAGTCAATAAAAATTAACATATATATAAAAAAGAAAGTGAAAAGGTAATCTATAGAATGGGTTAATATACTGGCAAATGATATACAAACATTAGGGTCTGGAATTCAAGCAATTTTCTTAAATAGAATTTAATTGTCATGGCCCAATTAAAATCTTGTAATTTAGAAAATAGAAACTAACCTATTTCACAGAGTTAATGTTAAAATATATAGAATGTGCAGTGGCTAAATAACAAAAGGAGGGGCAACGGACTTGAGTTAACATTTTTCAAAGGAGACATACAACTGGCCAATAAGTACATGAAAAGAAGAGCAACATCATTGTTATTTGATTAAGAAACTGAAAATAATAATGAGATAATTCATACCTACAAGGATGACTATTAAAAATTTAAAAATTACATGTGTGGACAAAATGGAACCCTTGCACACTTACGCATTGAGTGAATGTAAAATGTAGCCACGGTAAAAAATAATTTAGCAGTTCCCTAATGAACTCAAAAAATATTGCTATGTGCTCTAGCAATTCTACCCTTAAAGTATATAGTCAACAATTTGAAAACTGAAACAAATATGTATACCTGTATAAAAATGTTCATTTTAACATTATTCTCTGTGCCTACAAAGTGGAAACAATACAAGTGTCCATCACAAGATGAATGGATAAACAAAATGTGTCACATATATGCAAAGGAATATTATTTAGCTATGAAAAGAAATAAAGTTCTAACACATGCTTCAACATGGATGAATCTTGGAACATTTTGGTAAGAAGGAAAAGCCAGACATGAAAAGCCAAATACTGTATGATTCCACTCATATGAAATATTGTTCATTGTCCCCTTGTCCCCATAAACATTTCTTCATGCATATGTAAAAACGTATGTAAACAAGATTGTTCCAGGGCATTTGTAAAGAAACAGAATTTAGCCAGTTGCCCTAGGTCACAAATTAACTATAACATTTGAACTCAAACCTCTTCCTTCTGTTTCAATCATGTATTGCATGTATTTGGGAGTGTGTGTTTGTGTATGTACAGATGTTTAAACTGCTGTTTAAGTGGCTACTACCACAGATTCCAAGTGCCATTTAATGACTAGCATTCTGTAACCTCTCTTTGGATGATTGCATATTTAAAATAGTCTAAGTGATACGAAATGGTTAACAGATTAATCTAAATTTCTTAAAAAACACAGACAACAGGGGGGTGAGGGCACGAGTGGGGTGTAGGGGGATAATGTGGGGATAAGGACACATATGTAATAATTTAATTAAAAAAGAAAAGAAAAAAGAGGAATTACAAATGTATATAAAATAAAAAACAAAGTTCTCTGGCTTTTTTAGTTTTAACTAATTTTAAAAAAATTAAACTACATATTACTTTTACTAATTAATAACTACCAGAATTGTCAAGGGGCAAAAATAAAATCTCTGATGTTTTAGAGAACCTTACTTCAATTGTTAATAACAATGGCACTAATATTTCTAACTGAATTTCTTGCTTAAGCCAAATGCAATGATTAGTGTACATTTTCAAATTTTACAATATATTTATCCTGTAAGTCCATGGAAATGTAGAATGGCCAAATTCACTTAGCTAAAGTCTGAACTTGGGCCTGCTTGACACCTGGAGCACCTCTTAAATGCTGGGCTTTGATTTTGTTTAAACATGACAGTATTAACATTTACTAGCCATCAAAGATATCTTACTACTATTTCTACTGGAGTTAAATCAGATGTATGTTCGTTATTTTCTCTGGAATTGTGCAAAATTGGAGAAATTGACACTTAAAATGAAACATAAGGCCTAAAATTATTAAAACATCATTGCCCTAGCTCTCCAGAAAAGCAATGAATAAATCTGTATTAATTACAACATGCCTACCTGAATGCTTTCTGAAGTTCCGCTAGGAAAAGAGATCCCTCATCATTTTCTGTCTTACACTGAGGAATACAATGCCTGTAACACTGTTTAAACAGCTGCACTGCTCTCCCGAGAAGTGGGTGGATTTCCGTCACAGAAGAAAGAGTTCCAGAATTATAAAACAATTTGTAATGCCTTAAGGTTTTTGCACTACATAAATGTAAAATAATATTATTAGTTCTTGCAATCATCATTTCACCATTCATACTTGAAGTGATATTTCCACAAATCAGGCAAAGTGCGAATTCTGTCATAGTAAAACATTTATTCGTTAAAGTGATATAGATTATTCAAGATTCTACAGTCTTAAATCATGGATGGCAATGTAACATGGATTGATACAGAACTTGATGCCCAATATAGGCTTATTTCTTTCCTTCTTTTTAAAAAAAATAATTGTGGACCAGAAGAAAAACAATTTGGTTTTAAAAGAGATGAACAGTGATCTGATGGAGCCAGTTGCACCGGCATCAGAAACTTCTGCTTCAGCTCCTGTGGACAACTTCTTCTAGGACATCAGTTCAACAATTAGCCTTTGTAAATTGAAACTTTTTTTTTTGAATTTTATCCAGTAAAAATATCAGTGGCAACATTTTTTTTAGGAGAGAGAAGTGGTGCTCTTCAGATTAACTCCAGCCTCTGAAATGAAAGGAAAAAATATAAAAGAAAAGAAACATATAACTGATAAGATCATTGTGCTAGAAATCCAGAACTTACTGAACTGTCAGAACTCAGGCAGGAGTGCCTTGCTGTAATACAAGGCACTCCTCTGAAAACAGCCTAGACATGCACATTAGCACTTAAGATATTGCTCGGTCATTCAAATAGGTGGATATATAAAATAATTTGATTTTAAAAAAATCTAAATGTTTTTAGCCTAAATCACTATGCAAGTCAAAGGCAAATTGTGAAATGGAATTTTCCTTTGCTTTGATTTTTCACATGTACATTCTCAAGAAAAAAAAAAACCATAATGATTGTATTCATTAATGTGTAGCATCTAAGTTATAATAAATATTTATACTGGTTTTTAAAACATGAACATATTACATAAAATTTGTTCATTACATCTAAAACCTAAGTGATCTCTACCTTTTAAATACATTCTGCTGGGAGTTTAGTATAATATTGAAATTTTATAAAATTTAATTATAAATTTAATGATGGTAAAGACAATTAAACATATTCAATAATTAGTCCCTCACCAACAGGACAAATGCAATAAATGTGCAAACTGACACTAATTCACCAGCAAAGTTAGTAGTTAATGTGATTTTAAAAGAAATAATATAAAAACCATTATTAAAATATCTGAATATATTAATGTGTCACATATAATATATACTTCTATAATAAATTTATAATAATAAACTATAAATATGTTTTTCTCTATGTTCTGAGCACTTAGTACTTAATACTATATTTAAGATTTGTCCAGAAAGTCTATGCTTGATCAAAATGGAAAGTAATTTTTGAGAACTATACAATTTCATACATATAAAATAAAATTAATTTTTCTTCTTCCCATACAAAAACAATCACATATTTAGGGGTTATAAATATATGGCACAAATAAATCATGAAATATAGTTTCTTAGTTATCTAATAAATATTCTATATCAGAATGCTGATGTAGAATCTACTTGGATAACTTGGTGATAAAATTATTAAAGTATATTATGATTCTTTAGATTATTTGATAAAGGTAGGCAAGGTACTGAAATATATTGAAGAAAATGTATTTCAACAACTTGGTAATCTAAGTAAGTGTAATTAATTTTGGAACAAACTAATTTTTAAAATTATTGAACAAAGAATTTACACAATGTTGAAGGATTATTAATAGATAAGAGATGTATATCCTTTTTGTAATAAATGATTACCATGGAAATAACTGAAATATAAGTATCAGTTATCATACTTTACCTGGAAGATTATTTTTAAAAATGCAAAATAACTAAATTACAATGGGATATATCTATATTCCTCTCTGTTGGGTTTATAGCATAGCTTATTTTGATGAAATTGGATCTCAACAGGATTTTTTTTGGTATACCTAATATGTTCCTTTTAAGAGAAAAAATATATAATTCCATTATGCCAAAGTTAAAGTTTCAGAAAGTAGCTACATATAGAAGAAGAATATAGTGGATAGCATAACTAGTTTGACTTTGTCAATAGTCAAAGTTTATTTTAATACCAAAAATTACAGAATAGCAAAGTTTATTTTAATATCAAAAGTTACAAGAGCATGAGAGATAAACAAAATAAATTGTAATAATTATGTCAAACTTTTATAAGAAGTAAAAATGATGAATGGGGCGTAGATTCAGGGTGTTTCAGTAATGGCCCTCACATCACAGTTAAAGGGTATCATGTACAACATGGTGGATAGTCTTATTAATGGTACAAAGAAAAGAGCAAATTAAAGCTACTTCAATATTAAGAGTTGGAAAAATGTCCTGATGTTGAATGGATTGTGCGAAAATGCTGTTGCTGCCGTTACTCAAATATAATTAAGAGCTATGAAAGATTTTTATCTTATATAGTTCTAATATCTATAAAAGAATGAAATGGTTTCTAAAGGTCAAGACTGACACTAGGGTTTACTTTTTTCTGATTTTTCTGTAATGTTCAAATAAATAAGTCAAAAATGTGCTTTAATTATTATAAAAATAGATGTTTTCTATATAAGGGCCTATATAGTATTCTTATTTTGAAAAATTAACTTGAAAAATTAACTTGAATGTTGGTCATTTTTCCTTGAGGGGAGAAAATAAAACCATTAAAGAGATATCTGGATCATATACACACATTTGCTGTGCTGCATAGCTCTGATTTCCTTTGTTTTCCTGTGTTTTCACATAGTTATTTAGATATTGCTGTTTATTTATAATCAAAATTACTTTTTATTCATTTATATATTACTAGAGGCCCAGTGCACAAAATTCATGCACTGTACCTTCTTCCCTCTTTGTACCTTCCTATTAGAGCTTGATGTTCTATTAGGGACTGTGGTGTAATCAATTTATAATTGTTGCCTTGGAAACATTTTTATATATTAAAAAAGGAACATGGGTTTATTGCTTACTTTTATTTTCTATTTACAGAAAGAGTAGACCAGCTGTGAGCACAGCTGGAATCTCTGCCAGCTCTCCTTCTCCCTTTATTCACACGCAGAAAGTCCTGCTGACACGTGAAAGGCCAGGAGATGACTCAGAGCACACAGGCCAGTCTCCTCAAAGGGGCATCACCGGATGGTTGTCCTGACAGTTGTCGGGACTGCGGGCCTGCTACAGCAGAAACCACTGACCAAGTAGCAAGATTAATTATACTGTGGTCATATGGTGGCTTAAATCTGATAATAGAATGTAGCAAGGAGTTGGTTAACAAGTGAATGATGTATTGCCACTAAATGTTGTTAAAACAATTCTTTGTGCGGAATTTTTTTTTCTAATGCTTGTAGACAGCAAAAGGATTAGACAACATGGAAGGAAAATTTTTATGACATGATGACATAGTCATTCATTTCATAAAATAAACTAAAAAGAGTCTTAACAAAATATTTTTTAAAAGGTGACATATTTCACATATACTAGTACACCTTCACTATGTAAACTTAATACAAAACACACATACCTACCAGTACACATGAATTTACTGCATGTGCAAATAAATAATCACTGAAATATTATTAGTGTCTGTGTCTAGGTGTTGGACCATGATGGATTAATATTTACTTTTTAATGATACTTTTTGAAGTTTCTATAATTAATACTAGTTACTTTAGGACAAAAATGTCATTATTATAAATCTTACTTATCATATTGGCAAAGCCTGTGTTATCTCTGGTAGTACACAGACTTTAAATTCTTTAAATTCAACTTATAAGAATGTAGTAAATACATAAATAAACCCAATAATATGAATGTCTGGGATTCAGACTGATTTCCTGCTTCCAAATCTTGATAGAACATTTAGCATCATTCTGGACTGTGCTTCTGATGGATTAACCATTTAGCTCCTTACACCTTTCAAACGATATCTTAACTTTTAGGACAGCTAGATGTCCAAAGTTACACAATAAATGAACTTTTTAAAATCAAACCAAAAAAGGAAGGAAAGAAGGCAGGGGGAAGAGGGAGACAGAGAAGAGAGGGGTTAAGATTGAGAAGGGGAAGAGGGGTGGTGGTAACACAGTGCACCTTCAGGCGGGTCAGTTCAGTGCACAAAACAGAACATAAAATATGAGGCAGACGCTGTGCTATTGATTGTTTCTAGTGAGCCATCTGCTCTTTTTTTTTTTTTCCAACACAGGAATGGAATCCTAAATTCTGTAAAGAAATGATGCACGAAAAACATTTTGTTTGATTTGGAGATGTAATTTTTTAGGAGTCACCTTCAATGATTGTCCAAGTTATTGTGAAATGTAAAAACAAAACCAAGATCTTATTTTTATTACCAAGAAATAAGTCAATGGCCTCTTTGAGAACTTTTCAAAGCAGGAGATTTTTCCTGTGCCAAACTTCAAGCAAATGGCTGATGATTCCAGCTGTTTGAACAGATTGCTAAAGTGCTATTCTGCTCTGGAAACACACTTTCTAATCCAATTAAAATGCAGGCATCAAATCCTCATTTGAAACTTAAAAAAATAAAAGCACACCAAGAAGGGTAATTTGTTGCTGACAAAAGGATTCCATGAATATTTCATGGGTTGTCTTTTTCTCCATTTTCGAGCAGCTTCACTCATTTTAGATAAGAGAGAAGCACTCCTGCTCCTCCACTTTAATGAAATGTGAAGTATCATCAGCTCCTCTTCGGGCGTGGATGTCAAGGATAGGAGTGAACAGATTCTTATGAAGCCACTGTCTTCCCACTGGGAAATATTTTTAAATGCTCATTAGATCATGCATGACTCCAACACTGACTCAGTCATATCAGTGTTCCCTCTATTCTTACAGCATGAGTCAGAAATGTTCACTTAACCAGAAATATGTAAATTTAGGAATTGGAAATGCACTTGACTGCACTGAACTTCATTCTTTACTCTTGACATTAAGTTGTAATTGAAATTTCAATAAGGTACATAAGCTGGCAAAACAAAAATTTAAAGTTCATTTATAAAAGAATATACCCATTTAAAGAGCTGATGTATGTGACAGACAAGAATCTCACCTGTGTTTCCTGGACAATCTGGTCAACATTAGACAGCAAAGCATCTGGGAATAAAATTTTCAATATCAGGAACAATTCATTTTTGAGAAACAGACCCTAACACACTTTTCACTGAAATCTTGATAAGATTCCTCTTAACAAAGATTTATCCACACTTTTTTTTTTAACTTACCAGTTCTTGGATTAATTGCAATGGACTTTTATAATTCTCTATGGCTACTTCTTGATACATAATACTATAAAGGTAGAACTTTTAAGAATATTACTCTAGTTCCTAAAATGAGTCATTATCAATATGGAATACACTTTTCCTGCAAGAACTTCAATAAGAGAATAAGGCTTCTATTCATTTTCCCTGCTGAAAGTTAACATATCAACTACAGAGTGCATTTAATTAATATGAAAGATATGTCAAGGAAAAACAAAATCCAAAGGAGAAAATGTAATTTCACAATATTCACCACGCAGAGTTTAAAATAATCATTTGCAATATAAGCCATTATTCATTAACCCCACAAATAGCATGTTTTACCATGTACCCATTTATCCTTATATGAAACAGTAATGTTCTAAATACAAATATCCTGCCCTCAAATGCCCGTATGTATATACTAATTGGCTATAAATGTTTAATACCATTAAGTAGCCATGTATAGAACACATTTTATTTCTTTCCAAAATATCATTTAAAGCAATTACTTCTACTGGTCATTAAGAAGTGACACATGATAAAGAAAATTTAGTTATCTCAGGAAAATCATTCTCAGGGTTTACAGGTCAGTGTGATGAGAATAGTACGAAATACTTTCTCACATAACTCCAGCACAAACATCCATATAAATTTACAATGACCTCTGTAGATTAATTTTTACATCTCTAGATTATTGAAAGCAATATTAAGACATATCCACATTACACAGAAGAAAAATGATTAGGAAATTGCGTTATGGCAGAGCCAACATAGTATCCTATATTAAAAAAACTAATACGCAAATCAGCCGAATGACTGAATGACAGGTCACTATGATGCACACTGACCACCAGGAGGCAGACGCTCAACACAGGAGCTTCCCCCTAGTGGTCAGTGCACTCCCACAGGATGGAATATACTTTTCCTGCAAGAACTTCAATAAGAGAATAAAGCCAGAAGCTAGGCTCATGGCTGGGGAGTGCAGCAACAGTGGTGGGAGCCTCTTCCGCCTCTGCAGCAGCTCTAAGGAGCAGTGGGCTGAGCAATGAGGAGGCACGCAGTAAGGAGAAAGGGGTCCCAGGCTGTGAGAGGGATGTCCGCCTGCTTGCTTAGGACATCCCCTGAGGGCTCTTGGACTGCAAGAGGGCACAGGCAGGGCTGAGAGACTCTTCAACCAGTGCATGAATTTAGTGCACTGGGCCTCTAGTTTGTAATATTTGATAAAATTGTTTGTATTATTTGATAATATTTGAAGTTTTAACATTACCTTATCTAGGCAATTTCCTACTTAAATATGCACCCAGTAACAAATCGCTACTTCCTACGTCCCACTTCATATAGTACCACATTTTTAGGATAACTCAATTGCAATAATATGTTTATCATTCTTTCTACAGTGAGTGATCCCCTGTACTGATACAAGAAGGATAGTTTCTATTGCAAAACAACAACAACAAGCCAAGCACGCACACACAAAACATGACCTAAAGCAAAAAAACAAAAGACAAAACAGATTTTATTTATAATCCCAGCATTATTAATTTAAGATGAGAGGGAAGTGATTGAGTAATCTGAGAGACTTTCCTGCTTCCAAATCTTGATAGAACATTTATTTAGGTGTCAAATTCCAGTCATTAAATTTGGTTTATTTTCTCTTTTATCCATGAAATTTTAAAAATGAGATATTTCTTATCCATAACTGTAACTCAACTAACATTTAACTCACAAACATAATAAGATAAATTATTATTGTCATTATTATTATCATCATCATCATTAACTGAAGAAGAGAAGAAAACTATGCCTTTCTCATCTAATCCACCTCTATGTGAAGTCCTTTCCCCCAAACACTTCACACATAGGCACCTCCACATCCAGTAAAAGTAGAAATACTACTGGACTTTCCCTGAGACCGAAGAAAAGGCTTTGCAAGGAAAAAGGAGTAGATAGTCTTCATTCTGTCTGATCTAACGGAACACTGCCTTTTTAGCATTATAGAATGCAATTCGAATTCGATCATACTGAGAAGAGAATGGGCTCATACCTGCAGTCTTTGTTGAAAAACGTTCCATTTACCTTAGCAATTGTATGTACAATAAGCTGTTTTGTGTTTCTGGAATTTTGTTAGCTATTGGTATTTTAATGGTTGTTTTTAAGTTTATTATTGTGAGTAAACAGGGGGAACACTAAAATTTAGGAAATGAAAGTCAATTGATGCCAATGTTGTGATAATAGTTGTATTTTTTTTTAGCTTTATAAATGGAACATTTAGTTTTCCTTCAATATTAATACAAGCAAATAAACTAAATTAAAATCTAGTTTGCAGTTAAGAATTTTATGAGTGCTTAAAAATACAATAGAAATACTTGGCAAAAAAAGGTAAATGGAATATGTTTACCTTAAACAAATTCCTTAAATTCTTGTGGAGAAAATATATATTATTCTGTAGTGGTCTTGTTATGTTTTTAGATGGTGTACAATAGTCCCACAACTTATATTCTAAATTTTTCAGTAAAATATATATGTATAAAGCAGCTGTAATCAACTGCCTGAAAACATAAAATAGGTTATTGTGACCTCAAGTTTACTAACTACATTTAATGAAAAATAAAACAAAAACAGAACAGAAAATAAATTGGCCTCAATGAGGGTGTTAACAGTATCTAATTTAAATTATTGCATTTATTGTACTTCTGTATTAATCTATTTTAGATTTAAAATAAATAATATTGTCCAAAACAAATTTTGTTGTTTTTTTTAGAATTTTGAGGCAACTTTTTAAAAATATATATATTTTATTGATTTTTTAACACAGAGGGATGGAGAGGGATAGAAGAGTTAGAAACATCGATGAGAGAGAAACATCAATCAGCTGTCTTTTGCACATCCCCTATTGGGAATGCACCCACAACCAAGGTACATGTCCTTGACTGGAATCGAACCTGGACCCTTCAGTCTGCAGACTGACTCTCTACTGAACCAAATTGGTTAGGGCTTGAGGCAACTTTTAATGTTTCATTATCCCTTTACGACACTCAGATATTATATTTGCTTTTTAAAAAGATCTACTTTCTACTTTAATAGTATTTTGACATTTTCAAATTGGAAACAATTATTCAAAATAAACAAAAAACAGCAAAGGAACACATGTAATTTAAAATTCTTGAAGTAAATCACTGTAAATGTATTACTGTTAATATATTTTACTACTGAACAAGCTGAAATCATAGCATAAAATGGCTAAAAATAAAAAAAATTATGAACAAGGAACCAAAAACCATACATATAACCTATACATAATCAACACCACCAAATAGCAAACCATATGTTTTGGGTCAAATACATACATACATACATACATAGAAACAAACATACATGGCTGGTTAAATAAGGAATGCAAGAAATGACAAAGGAAAGCAACAAGAAAGAGACAAAGAATTTCCTGTTGATAGTAATATAATATCTGAACCACAAATCTCTCCACTATGCTCATTAACAAAAGATGTTATTACTGTACCTCCCTTACTTATCTATCCACTCATTCATGCACCAGAGTCATTATTGTGTTTCAGATTTTATACCAGATATCTTTAATCAATCTCAACCTTCCCACAGATTTATTTTTTAGTTACTTTGCACTGAAACTACCATGAGCAAGTTTTTTCCTTATACTTATAAACAAACAGACAAAAAAACATTTGATCTTCTTGTTAGGCCAATCTTTTGTTAATCTCTCAAAATACAAACATTTGGAAAGAAGGGAACACAGGACTTTTTATCATTTCTAAGAACAAGTGGTCAAGCCTTTGGTTAATACACCCTGAAAAGTCTTGAAAAAGTAACAAAAAAATAAATAAATTCAATAGCATTAATAAAACAGTAAATTTCACATGGCTAGATATTAAAGATTTCCAAATGTTTATGAGAAATAAAAATATTTAATTAAAGTTTCATTAGAAACATAAGCAGGAAATAGATTTAAAAGCACACACACAGACAACTGGAAAATACAAAATACATGAATCAGTAGCTTGGAGTAAATATGCTAAGCTTCTGCCTATGTTGCCTATGATTTCAGAGCCAATTTGTTCACAATCTTAATAATGCCAGGAATTCCTTCTTTGGGGATTCATTTATTTAAGTCTCAAAAGCTTTTCTATATTCATGATTTTTAAATATTATGTAGGTAAAAATTGGAAAGGAATAAAATAATATACTTTTCTCAACCAGCACCCCCTAAGAATTAAGTAATTCATGGTACATGAAAATGTTTAGTTGGGATTAGAGCATTATTACAGAAAGACAAATATCATGTGATCTAATTTATATGTGTAATCTACAAAATAAAACAAAATGAAACCCAAGCTCATTGATACAGAGCATGGATTTGGTGGTTGTCGGAGCGGGGGTGGGGGGCTGTGGCAGGCGGTGGAGCTTCGGCTGTGCTCTCTTCTTGCAGTGGTTGTGATTCTCAGCAGTTGCCTGATCAGCACACCTTTTAAATACGTGAGACTGCTGGCTGTCCTCACAGACTAGTCAACTCCGTGGAGGCGGCAGCAGCTGACAGCTGGGCGGGGGCGGCGGGGGCCCCTGGGTTTGCCCTTTTGGGGGGTGGGCGGATTTGATTTTAGAAATTGTGAAAGGCAAGCGTCAGGAGCAGGGCAGAGAAGGCACTTAGGAAACGCCAAGCCAACAAAAGCCCATTAGACAATTATGTTCAAGGCTGGCCTGGAAAGTAATCTCTAACCGCTTCCATCTTGCCCTCTTTTGAATGTCATCACAATGAGTCGTGTGTGATAAGGAGTACTTCTGTAAAGTTAAAATTAACTGAAATTTTTATACATGCCTCTAACAGAAGGAAATTAAACTAAAGATTGACATTCCTCAGCTGTGCTTTAAATAGTATTTCAAGTGACATGAGTTAATAAAGGCTTATTATATTATGATTAATTTTTTTTCTGCAAGGTTCCCACATGAACCTTATTTTCAAAACAAAACCAAAAATGAAAAACCCTTAATGTTAACGCTCATTTACCAATTTATTTATATAAAAGCCTAAGTTACCAGTTACCAGCCAGCTGTTCAATCGTCAGACCAGTAGCTATGACACAGTGAACAACGGGGAAAGACGCTCAACACAGGAGCTGCCGGGCTGCGGTGACTTGGCAGCTACAGTTCTCAGGTGACACACCCAGAACCAGAGAGAAAGGAACCCGATTCCGGGGTGTGTCATCTGAGAACCTCCCTCTTACAATCCAGGACCCCTCAGGGAATGTCAGAGAGCCAGTTTTGGCCTGTTCCCCAAAGGCAAGGCCGAGGGATCCCACCTGTTCATGAATTTATGCACTGGGCCTCTAGTCTTTAATAAGAGACCATCATCTTAGTGTATAATGTTGTAAGGTTTTCAACAATTGATAGAAACATTTATCTGTAGACCTTGATTTCAGTGAATATAAAAAACATCACATTAACAAGAAGCAATATTATTGCCTGACTAAATTTAGATTCTTTTTTTTTTTTTTAAGCAGTAAGAGTTCTAATTACATTTCATCTCAGGTTTTTGTTAGCATAATAAGTGAATTTACTCTAAAAATTAAACATTCAATTCAGAATCACAGTGCAGGAAGGAAAAATGAAACCACTATCTGGTTAATGAGCGATGACTTTATATTGTTTATAAATGTAATAAGAAATTCATTTAAAGTTTTTTTTTTAAATTACCTGGTAATAAAAATAAACATCCCTCTGATAAAAGCAGTCTTGTATTTTTGTCTCCCTTTTTAACTTACGTCGAGAAAAATATAAAACTCATTCATTTAGCAAATGTGTATTAAATGTAATGAAAACACTTTCATATGCCCAGGTAGATGCATATAAAATTGTGGCATATAATTTAAAATTGAACTGTATATTTTTATAAATGGAAAATCAAGTGCATTTTTTTTCTGCTTCCCACTGAAAAAGTATGTCCTGGATGAAAAATATCATAGAACCGCCAGAACCGGTTTGGCTCAGTGGATAGAGTGTCGGCCTGCGGACTGAAAGGTCCCAGGTTCGATTCCGGTCAAGGGCATGTACCTTGGTTGCGGACACATCCCCATAGGGGGCGTGTAGGAGGCAGCTGATCGATGTTTCTCTCTCATCGATGTTTCTAACTCTCTATCCCTCTCCCTTCCTCTCTGTAAAAAATCAATAAAATATATTTAAAAAAAGAAAAAGAAAAATATCATAGAACCATTAAGGCATCTGAACCAAAAATGTTTTTCAGAAGGGTACTTATTTTAACACTTGTCTGGATATACTTATTTAATATTTTATTTTAAATAACATAACAACACAAAGTTGTTCTCTACAATATTTGTCTAAAAACAAACACTATTGTTATTGAGAGAAACAGGCAATATATTCACTGGAAAATACCAATTATTCATAGGTGATCCTTTTAAGACTGGAGGAGAAATATCATTAGTTATGCAAGACTTTAGTTTTCCTATGACAACTTTCATTTTGTGATTTGCTATTGCAGAACCTGGAAGCCAGTTCTTTTTGGGAAAGGCACTGCTACTATGTCATACTTTTTTCCTATTCATATATATATATATATAT